CGCTGAGTCCCCGAGAGACTCAGCATCGCGACTGGATTCGGCTGTAAAGTCAATGCGTGAAGGCACTCTGAGAGCTCCTCCTGCTCTACCTTGAGGAAACGCTTAGAAGAAGTACCATGTAAAGGCTGTCCATGCCCAGCAGGCTTGGCTACACAGGCAAACACCTCTCCCAGCTCACCCCCTCTTTCCATTCTCCCTTCTGCTGGCCAGATTCACCCTCAATCCTATTTCAACGGGTGAACGCATCCTCCAGGCCAGGTGCAATGGCTCACGCCTGGAATCCCAGCACTCTGGGAGGCTGAGGTGGGTGGATCGCTTGAGCTCAGGAGTTCAAGATCACCCTGGACAACATGGCAAAACCCCATGTCTACCAAAAAAATACGAAAATTATCCAAGTGTGGTGGTCACCGCCTGTAGTCCTAGCTGCTCTGGAGGCTGAGGTGAAAGAATGGCATGAGCCCCGGAGGTGGAGGTTGCAGGGAGCTGAGATTGTGCCACTGCACTCCAGCCTGGGTGACAGAGCGAGACCTGTCTAAAACACACACACACACACACACACACACACACACAAACTCTGTCTCTCGCCCTCCCTAAGCTATTCTAATTGCTGTCTGTAGTTCTATTAGAGAGAAGGAAGGATGGTTGTGGAACCTCTGTGCAGCCGCACAACTACAGCCTGGTCTTCCTCACAGCCAGCGCACCAGCAAGGACAGCCAGCCAGTCTCCAAGCACGAGCTCAGCAAATACCTTACGGCAAAAGCCTGAGTGTGGTTGGTGACGGTGGAAAGAAGATGGGCTCTAAGGACGGGGCTATTGGGCTGCAGGGCGGCAGTGAGGCAGCCAGCCAGGGGATGGGAAACAGGAGACACTCTGAAGGTAGATCCATTTCCTCCTTTAACTACCTTTCCTTCCCTTGACCATTTTTTCTTCTTTAAACACTCTTTCCTTGATTCTTCAAATTGCATATAATACCAAGGCAATTGTTCAACCACTTTTTATTCTCTTAAGTTGAGTCATATAATTTGCCATTATGTTGATCAAAAACAGTTGAACACAATCGTCTCTTGTGGGACTTCCTTCCCCCGATACCGAAATCCAGGATGCTCAAGTCCCTGGTGTAAATACCTGCGTGTAACCTAACCGCATCTCTCGTACACTGTAAATCATCTCTAGATTACTTATAATAAGGCAATGTAAATGTTCTATAAATTCTGCTGTGCTGTTTAGGGAATAATAACAAAAAAAAGGCCTGTATATGTTCAGTACAGAAACAACCATCTTTTTTTTAATATTTTCAGGCTGTGGTTGGTTGAATCCAAAGATGCGGAATCCACGGATACAGAAGACCAACTGTACTTCTAACTTCCCACAACGTCATCTAAAACTTGAGGGTGTCCCATCTATTGAGTCGCAGTGAGTATCTAAAAAGTGAGGGTGGGTTCAACAGGACAGAACACGGATTTTACATGACAGATATTAGCATAACAAGAAGTGGTGAAAAACTGGAGTAGTAAAATTAGTCTTGAATGGTATGCAGCTAAACGATGGACTGCGCATTACGAGTACCTTAGAGTATCTGCCGTGGCCTGGGCACCAGGCAGCCCAGTCCAGGCACTTCTCAGGATGGCATGAACTCTGAGAGCAAGTCTTCCAGAGATGTGCAGACTCTCTGCGTGCTTCTGTTATTCCTGAATCGCCTAAATGCTTTCTGAGCAGAATTCTATTTCGGCCCATACACTGAAGGTTTATATGTCTCCTTGCAAAGCAATATTCGTTTTTCCTTAGTGATGGTTTCGAAGCTCCCTGAGCTTCCCTGTGTTTGGGAATGTGGGAAATGTTGATTTTTATAAACTCCAATTAGATGCCCTTTCACCCCTCTTTCCTACTAAAAATATTAATTTTTTGTGAAGTCCAAAAGCGGACTTTCTGTTCATGTCACGTCCCTTTCTCAGTGGAAGATTTAAATCTAGTAACATATTCCCAGTGGCTGGCTCTTTTCAGAAGTTTGCACTTCTACTATTTTAAGTCAATAATGAGAGCTGCTGCGACCAAGTCTTATATGGGGATAAAAGTAACGTGAATATCGGAACTTTCCAGAGGAATAGATGGCAACATTCAACTGAGGAAACATGTTCCATAAAAAAAAGGAGAGGAGTTTCTTTCAGTTAATCTAATAATGCAAATTATTTCCAGATCCAGAAACAGCATTCAAATCAATTCCTAGATGTCAAAGAAAATGTTCGGGTAAAATTATAGCACAACTGGGTTTTACTGGAATGGTCGCATAGATCTGAATTCTAATTTCAACTCTGCTCCCACAGGCAGGCTGGCCTGCTGCTTATGAGGACTACCGTTATCTTTCGTTCCTCAATTTCTACATAGCTGCTCTACCTAACAGTGTTAACCAATCATCCCATCAGAGTTCTGAGAATTTAAAATAACCTAATGCTCAAAGAACTAAGTCATCTTTTTAGTAACAGGAAAGGCAAGCATTTTTCAAAGTTGCGTGTATTTTTTCAGAAAAAGAAAGGAATGCCGCAGATTTAAACGTTAAGATTCAGAATACCCAGTTTCTTTTCCAGGCTAGCCCTGTGAAAGACCTGGGCCAAATCCCGCAAATCGCAGTGTTTTGAGAGTAGTTAAATCGATGGAACATGGTCTCTCTCCTTAAGGAATACCCACAAATTAGTAATTTGTTGCTACACTAGACTATTAAAGGGGCTGTTTTAAGTGAAAAATTTGTGTTTTTAGGTAGAAAGATACTGTCCTTTGGGATTACGGAAAGTGACCCACATACACCTAACAAGGCTCTTGCATGTTTTATGCCTCTGTCGCACCATAAATTTCTGTCCTCTCTCAATAAGCTGAAATATCCTATTTATTCTATCACCAACTGTTCGTTCCATTCAACTATGATATATGTCTTGTTACAGAATCAGCTGAGATCTATATTAACTTTCTCAAAAAGTTACATATAGAGAAAAATATACATAATGTCTTTAAGACATAAATAGTAGGCTCTAGGGCCAGGCACGGTGGCTCACACCTGTAATCCCAGCACTTTGGGAGGCCGAGGCGGGTGGATCACGAGGTCAGGAGATCGAGACCATCCTGGCTAACACAGTGAAACCCTGTCTTTACTAAAAAATACAAAAAATTAGCCGGGCAGGGCGGCAGGCGCCTGTAGTCCCAGCTACTTGGGAGGCTGAGGCAGGAGAATGGCGTGAACCCGGGAGGTGGAGTTTGCAGTGAGCCGAGATCGCACCACTGCACTCCAGCCTGGGCGACAGAGCGAGACTCAGTCTCAAAAAAAACAAAACAAAACAAAAAAAAAATCAGTCTCTAAAATTTAATGAGCCTGAAAAGAAAAAAGAGTATCTTCCAATTTATGATGGAAATCATTTGATCTTTCCAACTTCTTTATTTCTAAAAGCACTACTGGATTAGCTTATTATGAATCATGTGGCCACCATCATAATCAATGGGGTGAGTGAGGCCCAAGACCTTTTCCAAATATTAAGAATATTTCTCTTCAAAGTGGAAAAAAAAAAAAAACCATAGTACTAGCCCAATATTTTATCCAGCATGTGCTCCAAAAAGTGCCAGAACATAACCAGTAAAATCTATATTTATAAAAATAAAAAAAGAACACCAAGAATTAAACTAAGACGTCAACCAAGGGTCATGAGGGGGTCAACCCGGTTTCACATGACAAATTATTCAAAGAATCCAAACATGTTCACTGAATGGTCACTGCATTTTCAGAGAAGGCCATGTTCTCCTGTTTCTCCCACGGGGACCAATGACTAAGAAATGAGAAGTTCAAATTCACATTACTGAAGACTCATTTACCTATGTAGACACTCACAACCTGGGCATGGATTCAGCACAGGTTTTGCTACAGGACAAAAGACTTGCCTTCTACATATTTGTTGACTCAATATGCATTTCAGTGTAACAGACCCTCATATAACACACTGCATAAGACTATAATAAACTCTGTCCAGGTTTGGCCAAATCTCTAACAAGGGAAAATGACACTGTCTTTTGTTTTGTTGTGAAATAATATAGCATAGCAGTCATCTTCTTCACCACAGAATATAAAGAGCCCTGCCCCGGGCTTTGATTTCTAATACTCTTGAAAATCCAGGTAAAAAGCAACAGTCAGGAACAGCGTTGCAGAGAAGGGAAAAACATCTTTGGCTTTGTGGAGAAACATGCAAGTTCTATCACTGAAACATCACTTTCCACTTAAAACAATTATGCAAAGCAAAAAATAATAAAGAAAATATCAAAATGTTTAAAATTTATAGAAAGTAGGAGAATTATGAAAACAAAGTTAGCCAAGCATCTTTAAATATTTACATGGCTACTATGTGGAAAGCAATCTGTTCCAATTAACTGTCTCTAAACCCACAGGGTTACTTGAATCCAAGGAGATTAATTATAACTGCACACCAATTTGAAGACAGTCTTCTACCCAGCTAGAGTGGAGGAAATTGAGAGTGTGTGTGTGTGTGTGTGTGTGTGTGTGTCTACGTGCACGCGCATCGTATGGTGAGAACTGGGTCTGAGGCAGAAAAGGGAGGGGAGGGAATTTGTCTCAGAAGGGATCCATGATGGTGTTCTTTCCTCAGAAATTAGGATTACAGATGCTCAGGTGAGACCATCAACCCTAGAGGTCAAAGGTGTGTGTATGCAAACACTGAAACGGGCTGCAAGGGGACCTGATGGGTGTCTGTATCTGCACTCAGCAGTGCGAGCTCCAGGTCCATACTGGGGACAGATTCCTGGGTGTGGAGTCACCTGAGCACAGGGACCCTGGGCAAGGGCACAAGGCCGCCTGGGCATGGAGTCCTGAGGCCCAGTGTCACCTGAGCACAGGTCTAGCTGGATAACGGGCTAATGAGCGAGGCTACCTGATTATACGTTTACCTGGGAGCAGGAACCCCCTGAGCCTGGGATCCCAGGACCTGGGCCACCTGGGTACACTTGCTCACCTGGTACAGGTTCGGGGGCGCCCTCCTCACCGCTGTCTTCGGCAGCCTCGTCCGCCAGGCCAGAGGCTGGGGAGTCGGCAGCGGCACAGGCGGAGCCGGGGCTGCTGGGCTGGGAAGCCGAGTCACCCTCACTGAGTGATCCGCAGCGGGCCCGCGCCGCCCGGTCCCCGTCACTGTCCCTGTCGCGGCGCGCGCGGCGATGCACGCGCGAGTGCAGCACCATCTGATGATAGGTGCGGAAGATCTTGCCACACTCGAAGCACTCGGAGGACTTGCCCTGGCCGGTGGTGGCTGCGGCCCTGCGGTTGGGGCGCGAGGCCGAGCGGGGATCGAGGTGGCCAGCGGGCGCTGGGTCCCCAGGCCCAGTCGCGCGCTTACGCGGGGGCCCCTGAGCGGCCGGTGCGTCCTGCTCGCGCTTGCGCTTCTCCTGGCTCACCAGGACGTACTCGCGCCTGTCCTTGTCGAAGGCCACGTCCCCGGCCAGCGCCTCGTCCCAGGCCCCATACTTGAGGTACTCGGCTGGCTCGGCCACCTTGCCCCGCGTGGCCAGCTGCCAGGCCTGGTAGCTGTTGACCGGGTCCAGCTCGGCCACCCGCCGTCCGGCCTGTGCGCCTGGGCACGCGTCGCCGGCCGCAGACGGCCTCAGGTTCAGGCACTGGAGGAAGAACTGCTTGGTGTCCAGGGGCCCCTCCGCCCCCTCCTCGGCCGGGGCGCGCGTGCGGCTGGCCTCGACCCGGCGGTGGATGGCGTTGTGGGCGTTCAAGCTGTCCAGGTTTGTAAACAGGTTCCCGCACTTGGCGCAGACCTCGTAGAGGCTCAGGCCGGCGACGATCACCTCCTCCTGGACCACGTTGTTGATGGTGGCGATGGGGTCCAGCTCACTCTTGGGCCTGTTCCTGCTGCCCGTCTTGGGGCCGTGCGCCTTCATGTGGTTCTTAAGGAACCAGGGCTCCTTGAACCTACGGCCGCAGATGTGGCAGCCGTGGTCGAAGGAGCCCCGGTGCTTCTTCATGTGCGCCTTCAGGAACCAGGTCTGGCTGAAGGCCTGGCCGCACACCTCGCACGGGAACTCCCCGGGGCTCAGCTCGGGCTTGCCGTTCTCCACGCAGGCCCCGCCGCCGCCGGGCCCCTGCGCGGTGATGTGGTCCCTCTCGATGTGGCTCAGCAGCGACTCCTCCCGCAGCGTCGCGTAGCTGCACAGCCTGCACTTGAACGGCTTGTGCGCTTGGTGCACGTGCAGCTCCAGGTCCTTCTTACGCTCGAACTGGCTCTTGCAGAAGGAGCACTGGGCTGTGGCCTTCGCCTCCCCGGGGGCGCATGCGGACCCCTCCGCCCCCTTCTTGCTGCTCCGCAGCAGGACCCTGCCGCTGTCGGCATGCGTGGCCCCGTTCAGAACCCTGGCGCCGTCAGCCTGTGAGGCCCCGTTCAGCAGCCGGTTGCAGGCCGAGGCACTCTTGGTGGGGCTGGCGCAGGCGTCCAGGCCCTCGGAGGCGCGCATCTCGCCCAGCGGCGCCTCACCCGCCTCTGGCTCGTGTCCCTGAATCAGAGTCCCCGTGCGGTGGCTCCGGATGTGAATCTTCAGGTTGCCCTTCTGGGAAGCCCGGTGGTCGCAGTAGGGACACTTGTAGGGCTTCTCGCCCGTGTGCTTGCGCATGTGCTGCGAAAGCGAGCTCTGGAAGGGGAAGCTCTTGCCGCAGATGCAGCAAGTGTGGCAGGTAGCCTTGTCCCCATCCACCTCGTGGCCCCGGCCGGCCCTGGTGGGGCTGGGGCCTCGCCTCAGCTCCATCTCGGCCTCTCTGTTGCGATCCATCCGAAGGACGGGCGCGGCCGGTGGTGGCGGCACAGCTTTCTCTCGCGCGGGCTGCAGGGACCGTCCTATCTCTCCATGGTCAGAAGAGCCAAAAGACGGGCCAGCTCCCAGGAGGTGCACCTTCTACATCGGGGGCGCAGCAGCTGGCAGCCAGCACCTAAAACAGAGACGGAACATCATCAGCAAAGCTCCTGGCGAAGAGGGCACCGGCATGGCTGTGGGAACCCCCACATGCTCCCCAAAACATACCCATCCAACCCACACTAAGCAAAGGGGCACCAACACCACTTCAAACAGAGGCAAGAGTAGCCGCTTTCTTTATTAAAAATCAGCATGTTAATTATCAATAATGAATTGTGTTAAATCATTAACATAAATAATTGTTAATGATTGTGCACCAAAATAATTATCTATTCCCAACAAGGCATCGAATCTTTAAGGAGAGACTGTAGTACCAGAGTGTGCAGGAGTGTGAGGAATACAAGCTACTCTGCAAGACCATGTAGGAATCAGGGACAGAGGGAAGCAAGGTTTGGGAAAAGCCCAGTTCCTGGGCTGATGGAAGGTGAGCTGCACAGGTGGTGACAACAGTTGATGGCACTTCACAAACAGTCACATGCCACTTAGCCAATGGGATACGAGCTGAGAAATGCATTGTTAGGCGATTTCGTCCCTGTGCAGACATACTACCGTGGACACACATACACCCCCAGATGGCACAGCCCACAACACACCTAGGCTATATGGTGAAGCCCATTGTTCCTAGGCTACAAACCCATACAGCGAGCTACTCTACTGAAGGCTGTAGGTAAGTGTAACACAATGGCAAATTACAGCACTGTAATGCAATGGCGCCACTGTAGTATATGTGGTCCAACACTGGCACATCCCTATGCAGTGTGTGCCTGTATATAATTGTGTGTAGACGTTAAAGAAACGAGTCTTTTGCTAAGAGCACAGACAACTTCATAAAGGAGAAACAACACGGTGTGGAAAGGACGCCCTGAGCTCCCGAAGTGCCAGCTCCAGGACCCTGCGACTGAAGCCGTCCTGCCTGACTCTACTTCTGTGTGCGCTTGACCACGAGATTAGTTACAGATCAGCCCCTGCTGGCCGTGGTGCCTGCCGCCCCTTAGACAAAGCCCGTTCTCTGGCCTGGCTCATAATCGCCTTTCCTTCTGGGCTTTGTGCTTTCTCCCGTGGTCCCCTGCCCACTCTCCCCAAAAAGGAACCTCAGGCTTTGGCACAGGACTGATCCCCAGATGGGCTGAAGAGCCCCATTCCCAACCTCCTGAGACCATGCGGCCTCTCCTCTCTGCCCCCCACTATGCCACAGGTCAAATTCTCACAGCGTCCCCCTAGTGAGGGTGGGTCTGCTCCCAGAGATTGTGCCCAAGCCCGAAAACAGCATCAACCACCGTGCATGCCCACCGCCACCTGCATGCCCATCCCACCCACCAGAGTGTGAGGAGGGCAGAGGCCCGCTCCCTCCAGGCACACAGGCAAAGGGCAGCCTGCCACTGTGTCCAGCACAGAACGGGCCCCCACCAAGGACGGGGGATGCATGAATCAAAATGCTTGTATCCAACCAAAGAGGCCTAAATGGTGCAAGGAGAAAAGCAACTCTTCAGTAAAAACAGGAATCCCACCTGACACAGGGTAAGGGAAAGAAGCAGAATGATGAGCCAGTTAGGAAGGATATGAGAGATGCCGAGTCTCTCAGGTCAGTGCTTGAGTGTGTTCGAGAGGGAGGGGCTGCACAGACAGCTCCCCAGGGACAGGCTCTGCTCATCCGCTCATCTCTATACAGAACAAATCCATTTCCTGCTTCCAAGGGCCCAGCGAGGGTCTCCCTTCCGGGGCCGGCTCCAGACCTGCACAGTGAGGCACCCAGACGGGCGATGTTCTGAAAACCCAAGTGATTTCACACAGAAAGGAAGCGTGTTTTTATAAACCTACAATCTCACACACACTAAGAACTCCGACTTAAACATCTATAAAACCCAAAGCAGCTCCAAATTTCTGGCTGAGAAACACACAACACATCCACACACAGCTTCCGTGCAAAGATGACAGGGTCTCCTTGGAAAAGACCTGGGGTGGCAGGTCCCTGTTTGCTCTGAGTTTTGCAGCCTGGAAGGTTTTCACAGAAGCAGATGGGACGCAGAAAAGAACACTGATAATAGACCTGAGGGGGTGAAGGGGCGTGAGCTAAAAAATCAGTGTCGGGTGTCAAGCATGTCCCGTGTCCCCAAACCTCCCCCACGGGGGTCTGGGATTCTGAGCATTTTGTATTAATACTTCAACTCCCGAGGGCCCAGACAACAGCAAGACAACAGCCTCCTGAAAAGACCCTATGCTGTACCCTCTCGCAGGCAGATACAGCGCCAGATAGAAACCTTACCAAGAATTACAGGCTTCACAATGTCTTTCTAGAAAGCTCCCTGCTGACAAGCTTTGGAGGCACCTAAGGAAACAGGCGCAGCCTCAGCAGCAAATGAAAAGCAGCAACACAGAGGTTCTGCTCCTTCCTCCAGGGACGCACCCAGCACAGCCAAGCAACAGAGCGGGCACGAGAGAGATGCCCGCCCGGAGGAGCCAAAACCCACTTGCTCCAATAAAAAACAAAAATTAGCCAGGCATGGTGGTGTACACCTGTAGTCCCACCTACTCGGGAGGCTGAGGCAGGAGGGTCACTTCAACCCGGGAAGCGGAGGTTGCAGTGCCTGAGATCACGCCACTGTACTCCAGCCTGGGTGACAGAGCAACACTCCATCTCAAAAAAAAATAAAATAAAATAAAATTTCCCCCAAAACTGGAGAAATAAATAAGCTTACCAAGAAGATTTCTTAATGACCTTTCACTCCAAGCTAATTTAAATGATTTTGGTCTTGGCACACATTGTGGATGGCTGTGTAATGATTTATGATGATTTTACAAGGCAAGTGATCCACAGGAAGCCTTATCTTTCCCCAGGCCCCAGTTCACTCCCCCACAAAAATGCTGAATCTGATATTCAAAGTATGAATGAAGCACACTGTTTATATCTAACTTAGTGACTGGATGTGGTATAAAAACCTTACAGTGTGAACAATCATAGAAAATACGTCTACAGGGAGGGGAAAAAAAACAACTAAAATCCTGGAAATTGGTGGCTCTGAAATAATTTTACAGAATCCCCTAGACCTCCAACGTTTATCTATAAAGGACGTTAAATGTCAAGACAGTTCTCTAGTTCAAGAGAATTAAACTGCCAGAAGCCAGCTACGAAGACAGGATTCGCCGAGGAGGAGCCCAGGCCTGGTCAGGGCCGTAAGAGGGAGGCCTCAAGTGCAGCATGAAGCAAAATGAGATTTGTTCGGTGCAAAGACTCACACCAATCACCAAAACTCTGCGCTCTATGGCTATCGGCTCCTGCCTTCTTTCAGAGCAGCAGCTCCTGTGGGGTCTGCGCCCAGAGAAGCAGCCTCCGTGCCAGACAGCAGCGTGCCAGCAGCTGTGCACCCGTCAGCGTGCAGGTCACAGGGTCACGGCCAACACAGGGTATTCAGTACAAAGTGCACACGTGCAGTTGGGAACCCTGGTCCCAGCCCTCATGCTCCCAGTCACCAGCCACATGCCTTTCTAGGCATGTCCTTCACACCCTCAACCCGTCCCCTCCTATGTCAGGCACAGAGAAACAAGAAGCAACAGCCATGTGTCACTGAAGTCCCTTGCAAATGCCTCCTTCTATAAAATCCAGTGACCACCTCAGAGCCCACAACATCCAGACCCCAGGGACATCCAGGCAAACACACACCTGGCACTTAGGCTCCTCTTCTCATCCTAGGCAGCTTCTTGCCCTGCTGGGGCCTTCCAGGAGTGCTGGGGAAACACAGACACTCTCGCTCGTGGATCACCAGAGCCCCCAAACACAGCCCCCTCCGCCCAGCTCAGCAGCACCACCCCAGCATCCTGGGCCATGACCACGGCTGAGCAGAAGATGGCACAGTATCAAGCAGCGTGGCCCTTGTACATCTGAAAGGGCCTTGTGCCAGCATCGGACCCATCCCATCCTGGCACAGCCTTGAGTCCCCAGTACCCCAACCCTAGCTAGAGCCTGAACCCTGGCCCTCAGGCACCCGGCGAGTAGAGAATGCAGTCTCCATTTCCTTCAACTCACTTAAACGCTTTCCCCAAAACTTGCAGAGCCCTGCAATTTACAGGCAGACGTTCAAGGAGGAGCATCAACAACGATGCCCTGTGATCAACAAAGCAAGCTCTTCTTTCTCTCCGATCTCCTGCTCACTACTTCTCCGCCTGTCCCATCTTTCAAAAATAAGCCCTGCTATAAATCCCTGGGAGAACTGCACAGGATGTGTTTTTAGAGGACTTAAGAACATTTTGAAGGGAAAGATACATAAATGTAGAAATGGAAAAAGTGCTGAAAAAGTAACCAAGTTAATCCCAAACCGCCATTATCTTAAGGAAACATGAGCAAAGCTGCCTCTGCCCAGGGGTCCATTAAGTGATCCCCTCCTGATGTCCATGGTTGACTAGCAGAGTTTCTCAAACTTTAAAGAAACAGTCAAAAATTAATTCCCTGCAACTAACTCTCCTAAGGGGTTACTCAGTGGCCAAATCGAAAAATCTTTGTAATCATTCTTTTTAGCTGCAGGCAAAAATTGCTATTTCAGACAAGGGCATCCCTTCCAAAAAAAGAACAAGAATGCTGTCCTCAGAGCTTCCAACTTCAAAACACGCCATGGGCGGCCGCCCCAATTAGGAGGATTATCAGGACGTCAGCCGCCCTGCTGGCACGATGGGATGTGCTTTAAATCCCGCCAACCCCTGTAAGCCAGGAGGGCTTCGACGGGATGCCTTCTCCACCTTTATCCTGGTTCCTAGTGGGGCGTGCCTCACATAGGAGCAGCGCCGTGAGATAAACTGTTACCCACCTCAGTTCCAGCCACAGACATTTCCGTCCTGGGCTGCCCTATTCCACTTTCTCAAACGCACGCCAAATCCAAGTTGTTGTTCCAACTCTCCCTGTTAACACATGGGCCTGGAGATCACCAGCCTTATAAAACTTGTGCACGCAAACCTGCCACCCAAACTACAGTGAATACGGAAAAGTTCTGCAACAGCACAGATGTTCGGAGCCAAGCTGGAGGATACAGCATGTGTCCAGCTGACATGCAATATGGCACCCACGCACACTGGACGGCAGGGACCCATCTGAACACACGGTGTGCCTGTGTGTTGAATCACAGTTTTGATGTTAGGGTAAGACGTATTACAAACTTTTTCCAAGGCTGGAATTGGGAACTTGCCAGACAAAACTGTAATTTAATTGTTTAGGCATAAATATGATTTGCTGATCAGGGTTTTAAAGCAGACTTCCAATGGATCTCTTGGGGGGGGGGGTGTGTGTGTGTGTGTGTGTGTGTTGTGTGTGTGTGTGGTGGTGTGTGTGTGTGTAAGCAGACTTCCAATGGATCTCTTGTGGGGGGGGGTGTGTGTGGTGTGTGTGTGTGTGTGTGTGTGTTCGTGTGTGTGTGGTGTATTTATTTACCCAGGGATGTAATGAACAGTTTGAGGCTACTTTTTTTAAATGCCTTATATAATTTTTGAAATAAAAAATTTATTTCATTTTGAAAAACTTACGTAACAATCACATTTATTAAAACATAGGAAGAAGTAAAATGTTCGAAAGAACTGTTTACTCATAACATAAAAATACATTGTAACGTAGAAAGGGAGAGGCTAAAGAAAGGACAAAATATAAAAGTAGAAAATAAAATACGTAGCTACACTTTAAAACTAATCATGTAAACATCTAAAAACATCTAAAGACATATATATTAACGCTGCTGCCATACCGCTGGATTTTTTTTTTTCTTTTCATTGTCTTTCTTTTTTGCCTATATCATACGATTGAAATTAAGTGACTTTCTCCAGATTACTTATATTTGCTAAATTTGGGATAAATTTACTCTGTGGGCCAATATTTCAACTAATCAATTCCTTCTGTAAGTGAGGAAGAACTGCCTTTTTGACCTAATACAGAGCAGAAAAGTCACTTCCTGACACACGCCCCGGTGAGCTGCTGAAACACTTCCCGGTGTGAAGAAATGTGTACCCAGGGTTAACCCCACTGATGCTACAGAAACTTCTTTAGAAACAAGCACTGCAAAGCCCTGGTCCAACGCACTCAGCCAGAAGGAAAGCCATGTTCACAAAGCCAGGGGTATGTACAGCACAAACGTAGCAGAAGAACTCTGTCCACATCCCCGAGCAACTTCAGGTGACGGCAGGTTCCTTACAGGTGTTCCAGTCCTAGGGCAGTGCGGTCAGGCGCTAACGAGGGGATCTCCGCACAAGCACTTTCTGAACACCTAGCAAGTGCTAGGTCTCGTATCAAGAGCCAGAGATCTAAGATGACTCAGAAAAAGCACCCGGCTTCGAGGAACTCAAAGTCAGACAGGGAACCATACCATTATCAAAGCATGCTGGCAGCACACCAGTAAGACAAGGAGAAGTTTCCAGAAGGCCAGGAGGGAAGCAATTCACTATATTTGCAAGGACTGGCCAGGTCTTCCCCAGGGAGCCTGAGGCTCACCTGGGAACCACACTGGTGTGGCTTTAATTCTAAGTACTTTTCATGACCCAAGCACAAAACACCAGGTCCTCCCTGGCTCCTCCCTCCCCAGCTCAGCAGTGCCCAGTAATAACCCCGTGTCCTGTTGGATGCACCTCCCAACTCCCTCTTGAATCCATGTGCCCAACTCAAGCCAAAGCCATCATTCCAGAGCGCAGACAGGGCCTGTCTCCAGGAGACTCCCAGCCCTTCGGAGGCTCCCCAAGTCTGCAAGATGAAGCCAAACTCCTCACCTTGGCTTCTCAAGGTCTGAACCCCACAGCTGCCCTGGACCCCCACATCTAGAGCCCGGAGCCCTACTCCGGCCCAGCAGCCTCCCAGTAACCATGCTCATGATGCTCCCCTCTGGTCCTCATGCCTGCGTCCCTGCCCCACCTGTGATGAGGCTGACCAACCATCACCCAGGTACAGTACAGCCTTCCTGATCTCCTTCAGCCAATGATAAGAGTCTGGTGACCCAACAAGTCGTGAGGGGCAGCCAGACTACCTGGGATTAAAACCCAGTTCTGCCACTACCTGAGGTCAGCTGTGTGACCCTGAGCAAGTGTCTCAGCCTCTCTGTTCCTCAGCCCACTTCTTCATCTTTAAAATGTAAATGATAGCAATATCCATTTTATCATACTCCAGTACAATTTAAATTAATGCAAGCAAGCCACAATGTTTACTATACTATAAATCTTCAATACATCTTAGACAGCATTAGTAATTGTTCAGTAAGTGAATGAAATATCAGTGCAAAGGTACCTGGTCACTGGCAATGACAATACATGGTTTAATAAATGCAAAAGGACAAAGCAGCTAGAAAGCTGGATTCCAAATAGCTAAATAGGAACACCTCTTATTCACTGGGCTCTTACAGTTCATACTATAACAGGTTATTTAACACAATTAAAAACTCTGACCAACAGCTATAATCACCTACAACAAGCACATTCAAACACACTGCAGCTCCAGAACTCTTTGTAGAAATTAAACCTCAATATGGACTGGGTATTAGAGGATATTTGAGAACTACTGTTACTTGTGTTAAGCTGGTAATATAGGAGAATGGTCTTATTCTTTGGAGATGTGTAATGAAATATTCAGAGTTGGTTTACAAAAGAGAGAGAGAGAGACGGCGAGAAGGCAAATGCACCAAAATGTTAACAACTGCTGGGATGTTTATTTGTAACTCTTTCCATTTTTCCGAATTTGGCAAATCTTTCCTAAAAGTTAAAAAAATAAATCCTACTTGCCACTCCCGTAACACAATTGAAAGCAAAGCAGCTCTGGGGGACCCAGTGGGCCTCTTTCCCTATCTGATCCTCCCCCTCCCCCACTCCCCACCCTCCCCAGGACCCAGGGAAGCTCCAGGGCTGTAATAAACGCACGTTGGAAAACTACCTTTAGTTAACTCAAGATTTCGAAAGAAACTCAAAGAAAAATCATCTGAATAATAGGAACCTGTTCGAATGGAAAGCAGTGTTTTATTTTAAGATTGCTTTCTGATGTTTTAAAGGCTTGCCCAGAGCCATTAAAGAAACCCACCCACAGGCTCCAGTTGCAAAGCCTTCTGTGGACAACACGAACTCTCACGAACATCTGCCAAAATGCAGTGTATTCTGGCGTTCTGAGTGTATTCTGGCATTCCTAACCATCCCTTCCAGCACTTCACGAGGTAAAAAATCAGTAACACGGTGGAGGTTTCCTCTTCCTTATTTTCAACAATAACGTTCTGACCAGTTAAATATGGCGTTACCAGGGAAAAACTGTAAAACATCTTATATTTTAAAATAGTAATAACTATGTCTCTGAAATCAACAGGAAATTTTGCCATTTTCTGCTCTGTGAATTAAACCAGTAGGAAACAAAAGCTGAATGGTTTTGTACTAATTCCCCCACAACTATCAAAGTTGACTTTATCAACATCTTACCCCGAAAAAGGCACCAGAAGGCTACCCAAATATGCTCTCATATTCCAGAGTCATTTCCGAAACAACCTAACTCTTAAAGTTTGCGGAAACCAAGCAAAGCTGACTGGGAGACACCAGGGAGGAACAAAGGAGCAAGAGGAAAACTGAAAGTCCCGTTTCCTGCACGAAGTCCCCGCAACCAGCATGTGTCAGGGGAGGGAAGCAACGCTGAAGTGGGTGCTGCTTTCCAAATGCCTATCTAGCTTGCCCTTTTTTTCAGTTCTGGTTCATGAATTAACCTTATCGCCGTCCTGAAACAGCCCTGGCTCCCTCGACGCCATGTAGCTTTACTTATCCCCGTCTGCGTCCTCTCTGACCACCTTCCGGGGGGGTATCGATGTCAGCCCGGGATGGATGTCCGCGGGTGCAGGGGGGGCGACGGCCCGGTCCTGCGCACACCTCTGCTGACAGGGCATTCCTCAGGAGGGGTTGGAGTGATCGAGAGGAATCGGGGAGGGAGGGGAAAACGCCAAAAAGCTCAAAGCAGACAGAATGCTTCAGATATTCACAGGGCTGTCTGCAAAGGCATATCATGGCTCCAAAAGGCAAACCATCAAATCTAAAAGAGCAACCACCGCTGGTGCGTTTCTGAAGGGCGATTCTCAGACACAGTTTGTCCCGGCCACAGCTACCACGGGGTCTGCGCAGAAGCCCGTGCGTGTGCTGAGTGGGTGCAAGGCCCAGTTGGTGTTTGAGTATACTGTGTGTGTTTGTTCTCTGGGAAACAATGAGACGGGCTTCACTAGTTACACTGTAGTATTATGAACCATGAATTAAAATACATCATTAACATCCTGGACAAGCTTATCTTACTACTGAGACAAAAAGCCTATTCTCTCAACAAATGGGGGAAAATTCCATCACAACAATGAAGAGTTCCTCTCCCTACAAACCATTCTGTACACCAGTAACAATTACAGGCTTATAGTCCCCAGACTGGGGTCCCGAAGAGCCCCATAAAGTGATGCATTCACTATTGGGAGAGTAAGTACGGCCGATGACAGGCCTGGAGGCGGCTGCTGTTCTCAGACCAATCAATAATCCATTATGAACCAGCTACATTTCCACTCTAAGAAGAAGAAATGAATAAAAGGCGACCAGAATCGGCAGCATTCACAAGAAACTCCACCCACCTCCCCCACGAGGGGAAAGAGGACACAAAACACCACTATCCCAGGCAGCAGCCGCCAGCAGAAACGCGGCCCCCTGACCACAACAGACCTGATGTGGGGGCAGCCAGAGAACAATGTGCTTAGGTCTTTCTGCTCAAAACATTCATTTTCGAGGTAAGTCTCCAGCTGGCTTTGTTCAGAAAACAAGGTAGAGTGAAGGAGAATGAAAAACTCCATTTTCTAAAACAAAGGTTGTCTTTAAATTATTTAGCACCCCCCAAATAAATCAAAGCAAGTGCCAACATGCTAGTCCCCCAATGTAAGGAACTGTCTGTAATAAGGCTTTAGTATGCGAACTCTGATCCTTTAAGCACAGCCTGCTCCGGCTCTGCACCTCAGACCACGGGCTGGAGTCATCACGCTATTTATAGCCAAAATGCATATATGACCTAAATGTTATTCTTCCGCAAGTAGGTTACCTTTTATGAAGTTGTTTACCACAAACTGTCAAAAAAAACAAATTAATTCCTGGTCCAAGAGAAAAGAGAGAACTCCATCTTCCACGTAAGTTCAAATAGAAGAACATTTGCTAAGAATAAAGACAGTATCACAATATATTCTCGAAGTCCCTTGAACATCACTAGTATGAAGCTGCCCGTGTGTCCTTTTACTGAAATATGACCTGGAGGAGGAGGGCAGCTGAATAC